ATAACTCGGCTAATTCCGAAATAACAGGCTAGTGTAGACCAGGCCTAAGACTCTAAGAATTTTAAATCCGTTATCTTCCTGCCAAGATATGATGTTTTATCTCAACTACATTGTATTGCACGACAGTATGTAATACCTACAACTAAGATGATGTAGCAAAATAGTATTCAGTTTGCTGAATTGTGTATGTTCTGATCATACTGATGTGAATAGTCCATGCACACTTTATCTGATAACCAGACCTTTGCTGAATTTAATGCAGACTCAATTTCGTCATCACCAAAAACATACCATGCTTTAAGAAAGAAAAAGATGTCCAATGTTGTTGAATCTACATGAAGTCAATTGGGATTCAAATTGTCACTTTTCACACCTCAGTGCCATCTGTTTACAGATTTGTTTGCAGAAGTACAGCATTAAATACCATGATGATTGGTGTATTAGAATAGAACGCACGTAGGAAATTATGTCAATAGTAGTAACGTGGAACAGTAGAACACATTTCATGAGTGCATAACTGCTAGGAAATGTGACTCTCGTTCATAGAGAGCATGGATTTTCAATTTGGTGTTTGTGACCATGCTTCCTTTCTTTATGGCTAGATGGGGAGGGGATCTCAGAATATTTTTTTCCCTAAAGTGTGTTTATGGCATGGAAAAAGGTAGATAACCACTGCTGTAGTGAAAGAAGATTTCAGTGACTTCCAGACTAGCTTTCTCATGTTTACAGGACAAAAACTTAAAATAAAATTAAAAAACTTGCAGATTTCAGGGAAAGTTGATTAATTATGTTTACAGCTAATCCTTAAATGGTATCCTTAAAATTATTTATTTATTACTTGCATTACTAGTGTTGATAAATTGTGTAGTGAGTTGCTTGACTGCACTTAGTTTGTTATAAAATATATTCAAGAGACTAAATGGCCAATATCAGTCAAGTTTATTGCTGTAAGCCACCAATAATATAGTACAGGAAAATACCAGTCTCTGGGAACTGTCTCATGCACCATTGTTACATTTATGTAGAAGGTATGCTCCCAAAGTTACACATTTCAGCTGGTAGTATTTATAGGATGATTTTCTACGTTACACATCTCCTTACATGTCACTAATATCCAACCCATCCATTTGTCCCAGTTCCTTAACTTGTTCTATTCCTTTTCTTATTTTTGGTTTGGATACTAGCATTCAAGTGTTCTGTGAGAAACTCCCTACCTGTTGCTCTGGTAAAATAATCATATGTCCTGGTCTTGACAGATTTACTATCTTTTTAAGCCAGAGCTTACTTCAGCTAATGCAAGGAGTTATGAGATACATAGCATAAATGAAAAGGTTTATAGTAAAGATACAGGCCAATTTAGGCTATATAACTACTTGTGTGTGTGTGTGTGAGAGAGAGAGAGAGAAATATGATATATGCTAGCCCATATATATGGGTGAACACTAGTGTCATGTTATAAAATAGTGATCATAGGTTTTTGGATGCTTTTGTGAATTGTAAGTAGACTTCTGGGATATTTTGGCACTAGTCTGCAGTCTCTGCTTTGGCTGCTTCTGGTCCTACCAGGCAGAGTCTGACTGGGTTTTGCTATAATGTATGCATTGGATAAGTTGCTACGGTTGCTAAATTCTGGGCAAGTTGCAACTCATGACTGCCATGTAATTTACTTTTACAAAAAGGGCTCATTCTTGCTTTTATCCAGTATACTTGGTGTTTTTAAGAAGAGAGTAAAAATGTGTGCTAATGAGAATAGTATACTGCATATGTTTTGCAAATTAGTATTTGGCTGTATTAAAGATCTATGTTGGGGATGCCTATTTAGTTGTCTCAAACCAATGTTAATAGCCCTTTGCTTTCATGAACACTAAACTGATTGTCAATAGAATAAGAGGGGAAAATAAAGAAAGTAGTCATAGATAGCTGTTAAAATGATACAATTATTAGACAGATTTGAAGTCTCTGGCATGAAGTTAGTACAATAAGGTTTTTTGAACAACCTGCTGGAAGTCCGATAAACATCTCTTAACATCTGTAAATAGGTGTGGCTACTCAAGATGTTAAAACCCTACTGACAGCCAATTAAAAATTCAGAAACATAGTAACACTGATGTGCGTAATGTAGGTTTCATAGCTTACACCCAGTCATTCAGAAACACAGCATATTAATATATGTGTTGTAGGACATTGCTCTAGAATGTCAAAGATGTTTGTTTCCCATTACCTTTGGGAGATATTTAATCTTATATATGGTTATTCAGTATCTCTTACTGTAGTGTAAGTAGTCTTATGCATGTAAAGTGTCCCATAGAAAAGCAATAAATCTAGAAGTGTAATTAACACATTTTCCTGAAAATGTACATGTGCATTCACACTCATGTTGCAGTGGATAAAACATTGATGAAGGAGCTGCATAAAATATGTATTCAGCACCAAATTGGATCTGCCTCACAAACAAAAAACCGAATTTCCAGAACTACTTAAAGGTTCTCATATGGACTGTATTGACCATGTGTGCTGTTGCCAAAGTTTTATGCCAAGGTTCTAGGAAGAAAACCCATTCAATAAAGAAATTATCTTGGAGATCTTCTGAACAGCAGAATCATGAATCACACTTCAGAATGGTGCTCTTGGGCACTAAGACTCTTCAAGCAAATGCAGAAACACAGTAATGTAAAATTAGTGTTGGAAAACCTTTATTAAGTCAGTTTGTTCCACTTCTTAAGATAGAGAGCCTCTTGTGAACAGACAGGAGACAACTGGTGGGTGCCAATAAGTGTTTGTTTTAGGTTTTGTTGGTCAAAAAAACCTTTGGGAAACCCTAAATTCTCAGTGAAAATTTGGGACTTTCAACTTCTGATGATTTACAGACAACATATTAAAGGAGTGTAGGTGTTCACTTATTGGCATTCCAGACCTCAACTGGCTTAACAACAATAAACTTATTCATATCTGCTTCCCTTCTCTTTAAAAGTCCACATCTTGTTTTTTGCTAAAACTTAGTAGGTGCCTTGAGCAACAAAATAGAACACAAGGATTTAAATTCGCCACACCCTGCCACTTGGATTTAAAGATGCCACACCCTGGCACTCTGTTCTAAAGAGAAAAGCATAGATTAAAAGCATAGCAAACTAATGTAAAATGTTGGGGTTGGCACAGGAGAAGATCCAAAAGCCAAATCCATCAAATGGTAAAGATTTTTACCATGTCATTCCCACATATCATGGTCCTTAGAGTAATGAGATCAAATAACAGAATCAGTAAAATAAAACTTCTGTTCACCTTTTAGGTTTAAAATAAAGTGGTCACCACACAAAATATCACTTGAAGCAGTAGTCTGCAATTCAGCTCAGTGTTTAAAGTCCAGCATTGCTTGCTGTAGTAGATCAACGTGATTGGCTGGCTGGTTCAGGGGGACTGGAATCTGCCTGCGGGAAGGGATAGTACTATGGCAGTGATGTCATTGACTGCTGCCCCTTGATAAGATGCCTTGGTGACTAGGCCTTGACTGGCCACATGGCCCCTTGAGAGGTGTAGCAGACACAAGGCAGGAGTCCTGCCTCTTGTCCCTGCTCTGCACCTCTGAAGCTTGTTTAAAAAAACAAACAAAAAAACGTTGCCACCTTCTCATTCAAGGCAAGGTACAGAGTGTTACCTGCCTCTAGTTCACTGTTTGGATGTTTGCATCAATGAGAGAAGGGATGGTTTAGGGCAGTGGTGGGCAACCTGCAACCCATCAGGACAAGTCTCTGATGGGGCGCCAGTCCATTTGTTTACATTTGCACCCCCCCCCCCCCACAGCTCCCAGTAGCCGCGATTCACTGTTCCTGGCCAATGGGAGCTGTGGGAAGCGACGGTCAGGCCTGTGCTGCTTCCTGCAGCTCCCATTGGCTGGGAATTGTGAACCACAGTTACTGGGAGCCGCGGGCGGCTGTGCAAATGTAAACAAACGGTTTGGTGGCTTGCCCTGACGGACCGCAGGTTGCCCACCTCTGGTTTAAGGTGTTTGTTACTCTGGGTACTGTTGTTGAGTTTTCACCCTGTAAATATAAATCTCTATATTAGTATTTCATAGTTTAATATTTGCATCAGCATGTCCTATTTTAGTGTTAATTGTTGATCTTTCTGTAATCTTGTCACAGATTGTGGGTTACGGAAGGGGAAAAGTAGGACTGCTTGCCATGTGCAGGGTCCATCACTCACTTAAGTTCCAGTTGCCAATGAACCTCCTGTTTTGGCAGTGGCAAAGGAGTTTTGAGTCACCCATGGTGCAACTTCCTGCAAAATTATACTTTTACTGAAACTTTTTAGTTGACTAGTTTATAATTTAGAGCTGTCCCTTTGCCACTTGTACTTTACTGAGGCTGGGACAGACAAATCTGATACTTGAAGTAAGATTGTGCTAGTTTTGTTTTGACTGATTATTTTTACCCATTTTTTTGTATTGACTATTGTTATGAAGTCATACAAGACTTTTCATTCTTTTGATCAATATGGAAAAAGTGGCAACATTTGTACTGTTTAACTTTATTAATAAAAATTCAGGGAGCTAACTCTTTACAAACTAGGATTTTCTAGTTAATATCAGCTCATTAAAGTGAGCAAATGAGTTGCACAAAGGTTTAAAAAAAATCTAACTGGAGAAATCTTGTTGAAAAGTATTAAGCCAATGAACAGAGAGACCTTTGGAGAAACCTCAAGACACCAGGTAGAAAATATGCATTTGTTAAATTTTAACTGTTTACTGAGGCATTGTTACTGTATCAGGCTGCCAGAGATATGATAATTAGTAGCCTTACTGTAAAGCAATTGCACTGGGTAGTGTTGACTGATCTTGCAACTGAAGAAAGAGGCAATGTGTTGTCTTGAACACAAACACAGTGGAAGTATATTGTAAAATAAAAATATGCCACTTTATAGCAGGGCAGTAAGGTAACGATCATGTAAGTGAGAACATTGTTTATGCACGCAGTTCTTTCCCTTCATTCATCTTTTTTTTGTAGGATATCTTGAATAACCTTGATTCGTGTGATCTCGAAGATGATGATCTCATGCTTGATGTGGACCTACCTGAGGACACACCTTGTGACAATGGTTAGTGAAGTACTTAAGCCTGGTTGAATGTGGTCTAACAACCTAACCTAATACTCCAGATGCACAACTCAACCCAATGTTATGTATCTGTTATGGAAATTTGCAGAACAGAAGTTGGTCCAATAAAAGATATTACATCACTCACCTTGTCTTATTATGGAAGTGTCAGTCATTCTTCCAGTTAAGGTTGAGAAAAGTTTTGTACTTGAAGCAGGGTTTTAACTGCTTTGCTATGTATAAAGAATTATATGTTCCCAAAAACTATGGCACTTACAGAATGAATTTTGTGGGAATTTACAAACAAATTAGTTATTATTTTGAGTTATTTTTAAAAAAAAAAATAGCTCCTTTGAGAAAATTAGCATCTGGTGCCAGACCATTTTTGTCCTAATTTTCTTAACAGAATAACAGTGGATTCAAACTTTCCATTTAGTTTTTTTAAACTCACTGGAATCGCATGTGTAGGCTACATTTGAAGAAACATTTTAGGATCGGTGATCAGTTTTTGCCATTTTTCCTTGCAATTGAAAGATTCTCCTTCAGCTGACAAATAACATCCTCGGCAGAGAATTCCACGAAGAACTGCCATCTTAAACATAGTTTCCATATTCTGTTTTGAATGAGACTCAAGTCACAGGAATCCTGAGTTAAGATGCCATCTTTTGAAATGGCCCCTACCTTCTATTGTTCCTATTGGGAGTGAAGCCAAACTTCCCTTAGAAAAGATGGTAGCCCCTATGCTGCCAAGGGTAGTGGGGGGATGGTGGTGGAGATAATGCAATTTTAGTTCCTTTCTGCACAGAAGCTGTGTTGTCTTCTAGTTTTCAGGAATAGGTTTTACTTCATTTTCTAACCTTTTTTAGGTCAGGAGACCCCACCACTCTTCTCCACTCTCCTCCATATTATTCCATCTCCATTCCAACTCCTTCTGGCTGGACAAACTTCCCAAATTTCCAATCCTATTGAAGAAACAAACAAAAAATTAAAATGTGATATCCAGGCACATGTATATATTAAGAAGTTCTTGCCTGCACAACATGACCTGTGCAATGGTGTTAAAGTCCAGATAGTACCCAGGCAACCTGACACAATGCAAAGAACCCTGGACCAACAGGCACATATAACACACACATTTAAACTTGACATTGCCTGTGCAGCCAGCTGCTTACAAGGGTAAGAGAAATATTTGCAGAGGCAGAGTAAGATGAAGCATTCTTCCACCCAGCACTGCTCTTTATGGCTGATTGCTACCTGTAATTGTTTTTATATAAACAAAGCTTTTAAAGATCTCATTAGTCAGTCATCTTTAACTTGACCAGCTTAGTATGTTCTAATACAGTTTGTCTTGATTAAAGTTTTAGAATGTATAGATTGAGTTAGAGAAGGCGATGTAACATCGCACCCTTAAATCCTAGTCTAGACGAAGTCTTTGGGGTGCTAGAATTGACCAAAACCAGCCCTTTAATAACAGAGGGCTGACATTGGACAGCAGATGCCAGGGCATTATGGAGGTGTGTATCTTGCCCTCCCAGCCCTGTCCCACAATTCAGCTTTAATTGGGATGGCCAGTACCACTTAACATAGTTATAAAAAATAAATAAATACAGTAACTCCTCACCTAGTCATCCCGGTTAACGTTGTTTCTTTGTTATGTTGCTGATCAGTTAGAGAACACGCTCATTTAAAGTTGCGCAATGCTCCCTTATAACGTTGTTTGGCAGCCACCTGCTTTGTCCACTGCTTGCAGGAAGAGCAGCCCATTGGAGCTAGCTGGTGGGGGCTTGGAACCAGGGTGGACCGGCAGCCCCCCATCAGCTCCCCACTCCCCTAAGTTCCCTGTGCAGCAGCCACCCAGCAGGCTATCAATTGCTGGCAGTTCAGCTGTCCCTCCCCCCACTGCCCTGTGCTGCTCCTGCCCTCTGCCTTGCAGCTGCTCCCTGTATATCAATTATAATATACAGACAGTTATGTAAAGGACCCTGTCCTGTGTGACAATGATTTAAAAACTGTCCAACTATAACAGCTAATATCTTAATTCAAAATTACCGGTTGACTGTTTTACTGGTTGACTGTTCTGAAGAGCTGCTGGTGTCTAGACTTTTAGAAGAATGTTCTCTTAAGACTTCCAAAGAACTAGTGATATCCAGACTTTCTGAAGAAATGGGTCTATACCCTTCTGTAGAACTGATGATATCCAAAGTTTTGGAAGAATGGGTGCTATAGCCTTTTGAACTGGCATCTCTTATGATTATCTCCTGCATGGATCCGAATGTTAATGGACCAAAGCTTTCACAGTCAGGTGTCCTCCTCCCCCCTGCTCCTGGCCCCCGCTTACCCCATCTCTATAGAGCGGGGGGACACGACAGGGCTCAGGACAGAAGGAGCTTGCTGGCAGCAGCTGCTGTCTCAACTTGACAGGTTTCAGAGTAGCAGCCGTGTTAGTCTGTATCTGCAAAAAGAACAGGAGTACTTGTGGCAGCTTAGAGACTAACAAATTTATTTGAGCATAAGCTTTCATGGGCTACAGCATCCGAAGAAGTGGGCTGTAGCCCACGAAAGCTTATGCTCAAATAAATTTGTTAGTCTCTAAGGTGCCACAAGTACTCCTGTTCTTTTTGTCTCAACTTGCTGATCTACTTAAAAAGGCAATGTACTTAGAGTGGGGTCAGTGTACGTAAAGGGGCAATGTGCATCTCTCTCTCACTCACACACAGGGTGTGTGTCTGTCTCTCTCTGCCATGCTGTCTCCCTCCCACCTTCATTTGTGCTGCCTTGTAGAGTGTGAGGCTACATTAACAACGTGTTAACCCTTGAAGACTCAGCCGAGTGCTAGTTCATCATGTAGGAGTAAGGCATTCCCTGGGAAATATCCCACCCTCTTCTACCCTCTGCTTTCACCTCCTCAACCAAGCTTCACAATCATCGTTGCTGTGTACAGTATTAAATTGTTTGTTTAAAACTTATAGTGTGTGTGTGTGTGTGTGTGTGTGTGTGTGTGTGTGTGTGTGTGTGTACATATATAGTATGTCTTGTTTGGTGAAAAAAATTTCCCTGGAACCTAACCTAACCTCCCCTCTTCCCCCATTTACATTAATTCTTATGAGGAAATTGGATTCGCTTAACGTCGTTTCGCTTAAAGTTGCATTTTTCAGGAACATAACTACAACATTAAGTGTGGAGTTACTGTAGAAACATTGGCTAGACATGACTGCAATGCCCTATCATGTGAAAGTAAACATTCAGTAAGACGAGGACTTCTGCAGAGCTCTGCCTCTTTGACTGTGCTCCCCAACTCAGTGAAGGAGAAGCTTCTGCCTCATTGAGTGCATACCTTGTTGCAGCTGAAAATGTTATGCTTGAGGTGAAAAGTTTTTTGAATGTACATATCAGTATTTGCTGGGGATGTGTATATTCACTGCACAGCTAAGATAACCACAAATGCATGCAGCTGGCAGATCACTTTTTAAAAAATTACTGTGACTGTACAAAGAGCAATTTTCATAGCCTCATAACCATCACATCCAGTTTCAAAGAACAGTAAAATGAAAGATGCTTATCAGCGAGAATTATTGCCCTGCCAAATTTCAACTTGTAACCCCAGATTTTTGTGCTAGAATTGCTCCTCCCCCCCCCCCCCCCCAAGCCTGAATTTTTGTCATGAGGGGAAAAGTGTATTCTTCAAGTACTAGGTCAGTCTGTAACCAATGGTAGAGTGGACCTTTTTGCTTGCTGCTTCCCAATACTGGCTCATACAGATTATTCCTGGAGGAATTCTGTGCCACTGCGCATGCGCAGAATTTATGTCCCTGCAGAAAAATGACTTCTTCTTCGAGTGCTTGCTCATATCCATTCCAGTTAGGTGTGTGCGCGCCGCGTGCACAATCGTCAGAAGATTTTTACCCTAGCAACACCCGGTGGGTTGGCTGTGGAGCCCCCTGGAGTGGCGCCGTTATGGCGCTGGATATATACCCCAGCCGACCCAGCGCCCCCTCAGTTCCTTCTTACCGCCCCTGACGGTCGTTGGAACTGTGGAGCGCGGCTTAGCTGATCTCCACACTCCCTAGCTTCTCATTGTTCTTGTTATAGTTAGTTATATAGATAGTTTTCAAGTTAGTTAGTTAGTTAGTGTATTGTGTATATATATAGTTGTATATTGTTATCGGGGGTTTAGGGGGTGTTTTTCCCCTTTTTCCCCCCGGCGCACAGCCGGGCCCATGCCCAAGGCTCCTGGCTTTAAGCCGTGCGCGTCCTGCGGGAAGCATATGCCAACCAGCGACCCGCATAGTTCTTGCTTGAAGTGCCTTGGAGAGACTCATCCAGCAGATAAGTGCCCTATCTGCAAGGCCTTCAAGCCGAGGACAAGAAAGGAGCGGGACTTTAGACTCCGACAGCTCCTGATGGAGGCGGCTCTGAGTCCGGATCCTCCCTCGGCGCGCCCTGCCCGACCGGTGCGGCAGAAAAGACTGTTCGGCACAGACCGACGTCGGCACCGCGCCCGCCTAAAGAACCTCGGCACCGATCCATTTCTCCGGGCCATAAGAAGGCCGGCAAGGCGCGCGACATTGCTGCCGCGAAGATACCGGCTCCCCCGGTGCCGGGGGTAGAGCCGCGTCCGCAGCTGGACCGCCAAAGACAGGCGGCCACACCGTCGACTCCGGCACCGAGGCCGTTGAGTCCGGTGCGGACTGTTTCACCACCAAGGCTGGTGGTGGAACCTTGTCTCCCTTCCACCCCGGAGACCTTCGCTACCGCGAGAGACCTGATCGCCTTCACTGAGCCGGCGCCGTCGCAACTCCCGGCACCGGTGGCTCCACGTGTGCTGCAGTCCAGAGGGAAACCTGCCCTGGTGCGCCCACTGTCGCCAGCACAAGTCTCTCGGCACCGCTCCAGATCCCGAAGCAGGTCCTGACGCCGCTCTGAGTCCCGGCGCCGAATGTCACCTCGGCACCGGTCGTACTCGCGGCCCAGATCTTCCTCGCGGCGCCGTTCAACATCCCGGC